CGTGTAAGCATTAAGCACTTTCCTTCACCAGAGGAAGCTTTGTCAAGTGGACACAAGCACCAACTGGGAAAATCCTGCTGCCTAAGCCAAGCCAGCTGCTTCGGACCAAGGATACCTAAAAATACGACTTTTTGTACAAAAACCACTTGCCAGGCACCCACTTTAGGCCACACACCAAAGACAGTGAAAAAAATCCCCTGATCTTAGGAGCTGATACTAAAGGGAAAATAGCCTATAAAGTAGTTAACTGCTGAGATAGGGACCACTGCTTCAGTGCAGTAGTGAATGGTCGTGGGTCCAGGACTATTCCAAACAAGGGCGAGTAAGTACAGTCCTTTACCAAGAGTTCATAGCTTAGGCTACACAGGACACTGGACAACTTGTCCTCTGCCTGTGGCATTTATACTTTGGGCCTCAGACAAGCAGACTCTTGACAGTCCCCAATTTCTACTTGGCTCAACTCTGGACACCCCCCCTCACATCCCCCACCCCAACCTGTCTCACACCCAGGCTCCCCACTCACCTGGTAGAAGTGGCCCCCTTTGAGGATAGATGCCAACCCAATCACAGGCTCACAGTTTTTCAGTGCCCCGTGGAAGATCCTGTAGGGGTTCCGTTCAATGGTGGCCTGCTCCTCTGCTGAGGCAGCACGGTACTTCTCAAACTGCTTCCTCTTCAAAGCTTCCAGAGTCTGCAAAGAGACGAGGGTGCTCAGGCCTAAGTTCACCAGCTCACCTGGGAGTGTGCACACCGGTGACTGCACTTGGGAGCTGGAGGCAAGAAAATCAGGAGTTGAAGGTTATCCAGGTGCACAGCAAGGTCCAGGCTAGACAGTGCCCCACAAGACCCTCTTTCAGAAAAAGTAGAGTTTAAGTGTCTCCTGCTTTGCTAGACTATGACACCAAGAACAGGCTGAGATTATTCTTGTTTTGAAATAGGGTTTCCCTGTGTAGTCCTGGCTACTCACTGTGCAGATCAGGTTGGCCTCAAACTCACAGAGATCCACCTGCCTCTGGTTCCCAAGTGCTGGGATTAAAGGTGTGAACCACCACTACCCAGCCAAGAACTTTTAAAAATGATGACAGACTGGAAAACTTCTGGAGGACTTTGTGTAGCTTGGGCTGAGGTAAAACTAGCTTTTGACCATTCTGACCTCAAACTTTTCCTGACTCTGCCTCTTTTGTTGTTAGGTTGTTCCCCAACCCCAACCCCAAGATTAGGTCTCACTGTAGCTCGGGCTGTCCCGGAACTCGGAGATCTGCCTACCTCTGGCTCTTGTTGTTTTTAAGACAGGATCTCACTATGTAGCTCCGTTCTAGAACTCACTCTGTAGATCAGGCTGGCCTTGACCTCAGAGATCTGACTTGTCTCTGCCTTCTGAGAGCTGGAATCAAACACCTCTCCAGTAATGGGATTTGAGGTGGGCATCATTAATCCCAGATCTTGGAAATGTTGATGACAAGAATTGATAGATACCTGTTCTCTAGTTTTGAAGCTATGGTGTAAGGCGGAGACATGGAACAAAGCCAGAGGAAAAGAAAGAAAAGCCAAAGAGGAAGGAGCAGGCTTACCTGGGCCATGAGGGACCGGGCCAGAACTTTGTTGCCTCCCTTCATCATCATGTTGGTGAATTTGCTTCAAGGAGAAAACCACGCTTAGCTTTCCAAGGCTGTATGTACTACGGATCCCTCAGCAAGAACCGTCCCCGGGCTCGCTGCAGCCCCCAGAAGAGGAGCGTGTGCACCTCACCTGATGACAGGGTCTGCGAACACGGAGCTAGTTGCAGTCGCAGCCGCAGCTTTAAAGAGCTGGGTTTTCTTGAGCTCCTGCTCATACTTCTCCTCTTCGGTGAGTTCCGCCACCGGCTTGCGGTAATATTCCTTGTCAATCACAGGATCCTTGAACTCGGGGGCATAGCGGCTCCACCTCACCTGTGTGAGCCTGGGAGTGGGAAAAGGAGGGAGCAGACAAGAGAACTCCACAGATGAATCTGTGACTCCACAAGAGTGGACAAGCTTGACTTAACAGTAAGCCTGCCTGCCATCACGCTGACGAGGGACAGTAGCGCTGGGAGCGCAAGCTAAACCTGACAATGGTTTTGACTCTCGTCCCAAGAGGTAGGAAGCCCTCTCCGAAACTGGCCATTTAAACTTGTTCCCTTGCAAGCTCCCCCAACCGGCTAGGCAATCCCAGTTCTGAGATCTCCAGCAGGGCCGCACTTTGGGCTCGGGGCAGAGCCGGTCTAGGTCGACCCAGCCTGTCAGGCAAGGGGCAGCTACTGAGCCCTCAAACCGGCCCGTTTAATGGCTCGAGTCAGCCATCTCGGTGTCCCGCCAGGACTCAGCGCGGCTTGTCTTTCCTTCTCCCACGTCCTCCCGTAAGGGCCCGAGCGGCAGTCCCGGCTACGCGTTGCCTCCTCACCCTGGAAGGTTCCACACAGCACACCTCACCCCCAGGGCCAGCCCCGACCACCGACGCGCGGCCTGCAGTGCGGGGGCAGCCATCTTGGCCGCTATCAGGACCTCGGAGGGCTGCCCACAGCGCGCCTGAGTGAGTGGCGGGATACGGAGGAAAACCTGCGCCGCTTGCTCCGGTGTGGGGTCTACGTCAGGGGTGTCCGCCGAGGAAGAAGCAAGAAAACACTCTCGTCTTCGCGGTTTCCGACACGGTCCGGCGCGCCTGTGGACCCGCAGCCCTCAGCGCTCTCAGGCCCCCATGCAGGCCCCGCCCCCGACCTGCTCGCGCAGAGTCTCGCGAGGTTTGAAGGTGCGGGGCCGGACCGGGTGGCTGCAATATGGCGGAGGCGGAAGGGGAGAGTCTGGAGTCCTGGCTGAGTGAGTATCCGGGGCCGCCTCTGCCTGACCTCAAACCATGGGCCGCCTTCCTTCCTCCCTCCCTCCGCGGCGGCGACAGCTGTGGCGGCGGCGGCCTGTGGCAGTCCGCGCCCGGCGTCGCCTCGCCGCGAGCATCCCGCGTTCACACCCCTTAGCGAGCAGGGGCCCTTCCCCGCTGCGCGTCCTCAGGCTCCCGCGGATGACACCTGCAGCTCGAGATCCAGCAGGCCCGGGAAAGCGACACCCGGCTGCTTTGGGCTGACAGGCGGGCGCGTTGGGGAGGTTGAGGTGGGACTGCCCCCAACCCGTGCTCTGGGACCGTGTACCCCCAAAGCCCCAAGAATGGGAAAGCTCTGGATCTGGGCTGGTCCCCCTGGGAGTGCTGAGTGGTGCCACGCGCGCACACAGCTGGCAGCCTCAGGATTGTGACCATGGACCAGATATACCCGATTATCTTAGTCAGGATGCCTGACGACAGGCAACAGAGTACCACATAGCTTGCTAAATATGTATTGAGGCGGGGGGCGCTCTCTCTCTCTCTCT